TTCTAGCCAGGTTTCCGGGGGTTCAAACGATGAGCCTTGGAACGTTGGTGGTTCCCTGGGTTGATGAATGACGATCGCGGGCTGGGACGCTCCGGTTGTCATTGTCGCTGCAGTCGAGGTCATGGTCTTGGTCTTCCGCGCCTTGTCTTGTAGAAGGCCGTACTCCGGTGGGAGACCTTGCTGTCGGCGGCTCGTTCGCTGCTCTTGGTTGGCGTCGGTGTCTTCTCCGCGATGGGGGCTGGGTTCACGGCTTGACGGGGGCGTCCGGTACATGAACGAAGCAGCACCTCCACCAGATGTCACGGGGTCGTGACGTTGCCAAAGACGGGAAACTTCGTGTTGGGATTTAACTGTTTATTTGGGCGAAGCTGTTCCCGGTAAAGGGAAAGCCTAATTACAGCAGCAGTCTTGCACAGATAGCAGTCTCGGACTGATAGCGGCGAACGCAGCGTCGGCCTTCGATCAACAACTGACAAGCGGCGAAGCGCGTCGGCATTTATACCCTTGCCGTCGAATGTTCTAGCGTTATCGCTTGCGGTGGCGTAGGTTCCAGAACAATCTGTACCGTTCGCACAGTGGGCGTGATCCTATCGAAATGATCTACTACAGTCCGGAACCTTCTCGAAACCTGCAGGCGCGGTTTGCGCCGAGAATCGTGTGGTGTTTCGGAACGATAACAAAAACTTGTGAAATGAAACGTGGCAATATATTGTAAGGCAACGTTTTTGCTGCAAAACCCTTCTTTTACTTGCCGAGCCTCTGCCCCACGACACAGGTCAGACTGATGATGATGAGTATGTACATATGACAATATGACGCGCATGAATAATGATCGCACTTATTTCCCCCCCGTGCTTGAGCGGCCAGCCCGAACGCGTCTTAGACGCAAACGGAACATCGAACGAATGGCTTCAGATGCGATACGTCGACAATCTCCGAACCACAACAGCGACGATCCGAAGAAAGGTCACTGGGAGTGACACGGTAGTTCACTGGTGACGTTTGTTCGTTGATTGTATAGGATCCAATGAAGCGTGACTCAAATTTATCGTACAATCCTGGAGTAAGAATGGGCGTCCGAAGCAACACTTCATCCACCGGACGGAAGGAGACGTCACGATGAGAGCTGTCGTAGCGTTTGCTTGCGATCTTGCTGAGTGGCTTCTGTATTAAGGGGAGCCCGTTGCCGACATTCCTCGAGCCTTGTGATGAACTGCTCTGATACGGTTGCCGATGAGTCAGTTGGAACATTAAGAAAAGAGACGTCGATAGTGAATGTCGGTGTACGGCCGTACACGAGATAGAAAAAGGAGGATCCAGTAGTTTTTTGAACAGCGGTGTTATGGGAAAACGTCACAAAAGGCAAAATCGTATCCCAGTAGTCGTGGTTTGTCGTGGTTGTCGTATATATATATATATATATATATATATATATATATATATATATATATATATATATATATATATATATATATATATATATATATATATATAGGATTCTTACTTCAACGTCATTCACGCGATAGGGACAATGAAACTTCCATGAAACATCTCTTCAGAACGTTCACAGCTGGTGGGCGTGCGAACGAAGTCTGGTGCACCAGCTGAAAACGGCCAGTAGGTATCTTTACATGAAAGTATGATGGCTGCTTTCCTGAATGTAAATGCATGTCACAAATCCCGGAGAACAAACTTTTACAAATGCTGTTACCGACTTAACCCTTCATCACACATGGTCTCACAGACGAAATGGCAGGTGTTTATACCAGCTCTGAGCAGTGGCACTAGAAATTTTCTGTGTTCAAGTAATAAAATATAATACGAAAGGAGCGCGCATTTAAGCAGCACATCCAAGTATTTCTAGTGCGTACGAAGGAAGAAATAAATTAAAAGCACTCTCACACTCAGATTCTTGTAACAAAAGAATGAGTTCCAATGGATATTCAAATAGATGGACCGCTATTTACAGGGAAATACACAGTTTAAGGGAGATTGATACAGTATCATTTTCAATGCACAAAAGAAAACACTTCTATATAGTGAAAACTAAAATCTTGCGAATACATTCAGAAACGTGTGCTGGTACAAAAGAATCTCCAAACGTTTTGGTGCAGTTCGCACTTACTGTTCGCATGCCACAGAAACACTGCGAAGAGAAGCAGGATATTTTTCATAGTTTAAGCTGTTAGCACACTACAGGGGCCATTTTTTTGGAGCCGTAGTTGTCTGCTGACAATTGTGTCCGTAACCACTGCCACACGGAATAAGAAAACATACCCTCGAGAAGGACGCTTACCCGGGTCCTATGTATGGTAGTCCAGCATCCTACTACAAAGCCACGTCAGTGCTTGTAAATGCTTTGCAACATGCTCATGAAGGCATCATGTCGGGGAAGGAATCGCGTTAACATGTGTAGTAGAGCATTTCAAAGAGTAGCATAACAACCACACGTCACACAAGGCGAACTGCGAAACAGGTCGCTGAGTGCTTTTAGGCCCACCCCCCCCGCAAAAAAATGTCCCATTAACTCTTTACTGTCATCAGCCACAGCATCAACGAGTTTCTTAAAATGCCTTACAACTGTACAGCGGGTATCACAATTATCGAGATACCAATGAGTGGTGTAGTGTGCGCTTCCCCACTACTGAAAAGTTATATAGATTTATGATGCAGTAAGTAACATACAGGTGTGCCTTTATTAGTGGCCCCAAGAAGTTCAAAAAAGCTCGAAAACGACAATTCAGCGAACTGTTGCTGCGACTGTGCTGTCCATTCCTCTCATACCTAGCAATTATCTCTTTTCAATGCATGAAAGGAAGCCTAATATAGAAGGCATGTTTCTTTCATTAATGTAATTCATTGTAAGGAAAGTCTAGTTTCAAACCATTGATTTATTATAGCAGAAATTATTATGAGACTGCTGCTAGCAAAACTCTATTGAAACATATGTGCAGACACACTCGGTGGGTGCTCTTGCACCATCAGAAGAGAGACATTGCCTAACTGAGTATATAGATCTGTTTTGTTCGCTGTTCATACAATTCTTTGGGAGAGCATGTGTTGTTAAAGGTAGAATAAATGTATATGCACGCGCCTGCCAATGAACCCACGATTAAACAAATGCTCGACATTACAAAGCAACAATACATACGGGTGAATAGAAGAAAAGATTACAGGCAGGCTTACAACTTCTCTAAAATGAGAAGAGCGAAGCTTAGTGGGAGCCATGCCGATGTGCAATCAAGCTCTGGGCTGGTGAGGCAACGCATGGGCACCGTGTAATGAAGACACTGAAATGCGTTAGGACCTCAACAACCCACAGCTCAGTAGAGGAAGCGAAACAGGGTCCTGTGCGGAATAAAAGATATAATGGCGCCTATACGTCGGGATTGCTTGGCAGCGCCATGGAGTGTGGCTGCCAGACCGGTAGAGCCCATGCGTTTCAGCTTTCTTCGAACCGCTACAATGCTGGTCACTACCAAAACGGGGGAAAAAGAAGTGGGTGAAGTGAATGTGCAATTCGCAATTATGCATTTTATCGTGAAACTGCTTTTGGCACGCATCTAGGAGGACTTCTCTGACGTCATTTGTGTCACACAAGTGATGACTTCAAAATGCACAGAAACAAATGACACAGATGAGAAAAATCTTCGTTAATTTGATGACCTTGTAGTCGAACCAACAACCTCAGGGTCCGTAGTGATATAGTTTGGTCCTGTACCTTCAGACTTACCAACGATTTTTTCGTTATTCTCTAGACTGCTACCGACGATCACGGCTGAAAGTTTGCATACACGCTTTATATATGAAACACCTCCCCCCTCGCACAATTGCAGTGTGACCCTCTCAAATCAGTGAAGTGAATTACTGGCCCATAAAATCAGTTAGTTTCAGCTTTCGGTTTATAGCGAGACATGGTTGAGCTGTAATCTCTTGTCACGTTCATGGCTGAAGCTCCAAGTTCTGTCTGACCCATTTACCAAGAACTGTGTGGTATACACTTGAGCACAAACGTAGGTTATCCTATTACTAGGAAAACGCACACCTTTAGAATTTCTCAGCCGCAATTATGATGCTTGGAACGGGTAAATGTCAAATACGAGGTTATATGCTTCATCATTCCACATTCGCCAAGGAGTCAGAGAAGGCTATGTTCATGTGTATGTTTAACAATTAGGCTAACACTAAAGCTTTAATCCTAATCTTAGGGGTCAGCCTTAACATTGACCCACACTATCTTTTCAAATAGTGAAACAATATCAGCTTAGGCGCAGGAATGAACTACTCTTACACTGAAAGCTCACATAATTCAATCTTTCACATGGATTTGCTGCAATACAGATTTTTCCTCATGGGGAAACGTTACCTCTTTTGCTTTGAGTATCGACCTATACTACCATGAGTGGAATCAAGAGTACTGTTTCTTGGGCCCAGCCGTGATGGTCTAGTGGTTATGGGGCTCGTGTCCTAACCTGAAGGTCGCAGAATCGAATCGCGGCTGCGGCGGCTGCATTTTTGATGAAGGCGAAAATGTTATAGGAGATCTTTATTATTATGTTTAGGAGATCTTTATTATTTATAGCATGAAAGCAATAGCTGAAATATGGAGCACCTTGTTGAAGCTAAAGAATGTCATCGGAATGCGACACTGCTGAAGCTAAACAAAATAATAGAATGACAACTTTGTGGTAAAAGGTGAGCGATAGTACAATGAAACCTAAGGGGGATTGACAGCGCATCACTTGCAATATGTTCTGCGCCATTCCACAAAGAGATGTTTCCTAAGAAGACCCACTTTTATTAGGACGCAAGTGAACACATTAACATTTCTTATACCCTTTGTCATTAAGCCCCTATTTTTAGGAATGCACCAGTACTAAATGGTATTTTTATGCTAGAGCATTGATGGTGGAAGCGGAAAAAAGATTATGAGTTGTGTGAGCGTTGTCTGCTCCGGTATTTAGACGCCACAGGACCTATATTTTCCTCTTTGGTCTCACCTGAGCAAATTTGACAACTTTGCAACCGAAGTTTGCCTCCATGCCAGTCAACTGTAGTTTTCCAGATGATGTCTGTTAGTACACTCAACCAGACCCACGCCAAGATCTGGAATGAAATATTATATGGGCTGCTATTAAAAGAGGTCAAATGAATTCTGCACCAATTTGTTATTATTTATGGTATCTTTCATTTGAAAAAGTTTCTCCTGTTAAGTATAATATATTGTAAGTATCCTCAAACCGCAACGTTCGATAGGTGGTGGTCATGAATTGAAACATTTTCAAAGCGTTGTTTGTCGTGGCACTTCATTTTAATCACTCAGCTGTTACTATATACTCACATACCTGGTATCATCGTCAGATAGGCCATCACGAACCTCACCTGATTAAACATCCGCATGCGTTGCTTTGGACTGCGTTTGTGTTTGCTACAAAACATTTAAAATAACTTATTCAAATTCAAGTTCAGTCTCTCGCCAAAACACTACTTATTCAGGGCTGCATGAAGCTTCAGGCCTTATGTTACCGTACTCGCCGCGTACATGCCTCTTCCTTCTCCTTATGACTTTCGTGATACTTCTTCGCTGATTGATCTGTCAGTTCAGCGGAGTAGGCAAATACAACTTTATGTTCTGGTTTAGTGCTATTGATTACTGATCACTTATTTATTGCGATCTTCTTAATGCCCATTAGAAAATAAATATTAACGGTGCTCTAGAAGAAGTGGTATTTGGGCGAGTTGGGTGCTGTTGAGTGTATTGCGTGTTATACCACGAGGACAAAGGTAATTAAGGAAAACGAGCACTAGACCTGCTCACACAACGAACGTCGCTAGAGGTCCACGTGATTTTAGCTAGAGCTTAGGACACGTGATTCTGCGATTATTACAGTTGTTGTAGGAATAGCGCTAGTTTGCCTTTTATCCACCCCTGTTCTCGCTGTATCACGCTAAATCCACTCAGCCTGTTTAACAGTGCCATATTTTTTACAACACTGTGAGACCCTAGAGCTTGGTGGAGACCTACAAGCTGCAATGTTGAATACTGAGCATGTTGTCATACTTGCCGAATTCTAGGGCAGAACCTTCGGGTGACCCTGTGCACGACGAGAATCAGCAGACAAGAGGAGACCATTACCAGATGCATGGATTGACGCTTCGCCCCTCTCATCATCATACACTCCGTGGGTATGCTGTGAGTTTTTGGTTTTATTTTTTCGCTTTTGTTCTCTTCTTTATGCTTTCTCTTCTAACTCCATCGAATTTCTTCGATACCAAGAGAAACGCCGCAGAAGTGCTCCGTGCGTGCGTTCGTGTGTGTGAGTGTGTACAGCCTGGTGACTAAAGCTGGATTTGCATTGCTGTGGAAGGCCACAGCCCAAACTCAAATTTTTTTGTCGGCATGAATCAGGCCATATTTGCATGTTACTGTTTCTCGCAATGCACTGACACGTTCTTGTACTTTGAAGCTGTTTTCGTCAAGCTTATCATGTCCGTGATCCGTGGTAACGCTTGTGTGTGTCGTAAAGGGGTATTCGCCACAGACGATGAGTAAATCCCACCTCTCAATAATACCCTTAATTGTGGAAGCAACAGTAGCCTTCACAAAGGCATATGCCTCATAAACTGAGTGGCCTATCAAATAGCTATCATCATCATAAACGCGTCTGTACCACATAAATTGGGTAATCATGTACTACACACGCCTGGAACAATTAAGGAAAAAGACAACTGTTAGTTTAACAAATGGCCAGCGCGTTATTATAGTCAAACTACCGGCTCGTGATAGTTTGTTGTTATACCAAAACGTGGTTGCTATGCGGCAACCTCTAAGATTAACAAAGAGTGTTTCATAAAGTGCAGTGATACACAATGTCTGAGCATCTGGAGCGAAGGGTTCATCGTAAAAGGTTTGTTAGAGATGCCATTAAATTATACTACCGCTTTAAAGCCTAACAAAATGGGCGTATTGAAGAGCACTGACACAACATACTTGAGACACTTGCAAAACAGGAATGCGTTAGCTTAAGGACGGGAACGCCATCAACTTCGCTGTTTCATCAGCGTCCGTGAACCGGAGCTGGATTATTTTCCTGATCAAGGGTGTTATTTCTGCCTTTGCGATTAATTATTCTGAGGCCCTACTACATTAAGGTATTTTCGTTCCAGAATTTTAGGCTTCTCACGCAAGTCTTGTCATGCGTTTACTTCATTTTTTTCTTTGTTGTAAAGCACGGATGTATACGATATGAACGGCATTCGACGCTCTCAACACTGACGTCTTACTCTGACATAAAGTATTATTTTTTATTTCTTGTACCGCTAGGCGTGATACATTCGTTTCATTGGCTCTCAGATTGACTTCCTTATTATTAGACTTAAATATTATTCCTCTTTACTTTAAGCTCTTTAGACCTGATACGTTCACTCTCAATGGCTCTCAGTTATCACTTTTCCACAGCGTTAGAAATCAACATTACCTGCAATGGCGAGGTGCATGATGAAGAAGTTCATACGAGACTTTCGGCCTTTGGGGAGCGCGGCCAGCACGGCACTGTTGCCGAGGACAATGCAGGCGAACAGGATCCATAGGAAAGTCAACGTCTCCACCTGTAAACGAAACATAACGATAAGTGCTTACGGTAATAAAGAGAATCATAACAGCTACAGACATTTTATCAAACTAGGTAACATCATAAGCAAGATTTTTATAGAAAAACACACATTAAAAGCAATAAAACTAACGAAAGTCGCTTCATGTTTCTTGCTTGAATTGAGCGGGTCGCTTAAATTAAGCGCTTAAATTGAGCGGTCATATAAGACATAAAAATATACGCATGCACCTATATAATGCATCGACTTAGTCTTGGTGTGCAAAACGAACACCGACGATCGTTCTCCGATTGTGCAATCTTGCTTCCTTGGTCACCCTAGGGACCCTTATTTTGTTCCCACATAAAGCGGATACACGTCGGAATCCACTATAAACAAATAGCAATATTGACCTGGTTATATGTTGGAAATAAACTCTGATTGTGTAAATTGAGGGCATAAAGTTAGTTCGCTTGAATTTCAGATGAGAATTTACTTTTATAAAGTTGCCGTAACGAGTGACAAAAAAATTTGCCTGAGTGACACAACACGTGTCGTCAATGAAGCGAAACATTTTGTAAGTGAACATTTGGAAATAAAGAAAAGAAACCGGTGGAAGATTAAAGCCAGAGCGTCCATCCTGCATATAATTTGTCATGAAGGCGACTTGACCTACTTGAATTCCTAGTGAGCGTAGATTTGATGAAGTAAGTGTGAATATCACACTCGCGCTGGAAAATAACAAATGACTTGTGCGCAGGTTTACAGTGGACATATCTCGTGCAAATAGGCAAGGTCTCCCTTATTCAGAAACATGAGTGTTTGAATTGCGCTTGGTTCAGTATGAGTGGCACGTAATTTTAGTTCTCCCAGCCACTCACTTTAAAATCTAGTCAACAGATTCTTGCGGTACAGCTTACTTGCAATATCTAACACCGGCAAGACCAACCTTGCGCAAAATTCAAGAGCATTCAAGCCCAAGTGTTTGAGATATGCCTTGGAATACCCCACAGTGCTTCAACGGCTGAAATCACTGCTATCACTCAAGATCGCTCAATCGAAACGCATATTCTTATCCGAGACACTGCGCATGCACCTTAGACATTATACCAGAACCCCTTCCCACCACCTGGCCATGCTTCCCTGCTGAAAGGCTCCGCACCGACATACGGGCTCACTGTCTGCAAGCATCGCTCATTCGTTTACTGAGGCGTAAGGCACCTGCATCAAAGCCACTACTTCCTCCTTGGTGCTTGAGAAGACAGCGAGTTAACTAACTGATCCCAGGAATGAGGAGAAAATTGTACTTCCGACACATGGCCTATAACAATTGAGTCTATTCCTACTGGAACAAAACTACAGTAACCAAGTGCCACATTTACACGGATGGATTGATTACGTCATCTCATTTCAGGTTGAAGCAGTGATTATAGCATCCCAAGAGGTAACTTGGCGTTTTAAGACTTCACATGCGACGACGTCCACGACAATAGAACTCAAGAACCTTCGTAGTGCACTGAAACTCATCAATTCTAAAGAAAGGCTAAATAAATGGGCCGTGTCTTCTGACTCCAAACCAGCGTTACTGTGCCTGCAGTCAGTTCTCCGACGTTAATGCCACGACCAGTTGACCAACAAAGTCGGTAAACTTCACCACCTCTTAATACAAAAAAGGCCATGACATCATCTTTCAAGTGGTTACGTAAGTATTTTGGAATAAGCGGAAATGAATTCTGCAGATCATGCTGCTCACAAGTCCCATGAAGAAGCAAACAGCGTTTCGGTTCCGCTTTCAAGAGCGAGCGCGGTGAGGCAGATTTGTCAACTGGCTCGCAGTGTCACACTGACTGAGTGGAAAACAAAAGCATACGACGTACAAGACTACACGAACTTGACCCTTCACTACGACTCCGGTCTCCACCAGGCCTACATCAACGTGAACCTTCACTTCAGTATAGCCTTTGGCTGGGAGTTGCTCTCACGAAAGCTTATACCACGTCAATAGGAATGAAGGACAGTGTGCCGTGCATGTGATGTTGGCGGCACCGATGAAAATATCGAACACCTGCTGTGCCACAGTCTTCAAACTGCCTCAGACATACAAGTACTTGCCAACGCAATGCGGCGACTGGAATATCAGCGTCTCGCTGTGCACGTGCTACTGCAGCAGCGTCCCCATCCCTCGACATCCCATAAGGCAGCGAAAGGCCTGCTGTGTTTCTTGAGAAAGACGGGTTTCTGTGAACGCCTCTGACATGCGGTGGAGTAATACGCGCTGCAGTGAAATTACTGTCTCTCCTTTTTTTTCTTTTTTTTCTCTGCCCTTTTTCTCCTTTTTTCTTGTTCCCTTCCTATCCTCCTGTGTAGGGTAGCCAACCGGATTTCTTTCTTGTTCACCTCCCTGCCTTCTTCCTTTAGTTGCTTCCTTCCTTTCTAAACAACAATGTGTTCCCTCCAAAATGAAAGTTTTATCTGTGAACAGGCAATCAGATTTCGGTGCTCAGCTGCCTCTGGCAATCTTCGCTGCTGCGTGAGAGAATATTTGTTATCCTCGTGACGTCTACGCTGCAAGCGTCTGTTATCACGGCGGATTGCTGAAGTTCAGATAACTCGGTAGGTTAGTAAATTATTAAGACATGAACAAAGAGCACGGATGTGGGGCATGGTCAACAAAGAGGGTAAGAAAAATTTCCACGTGAAAAAAGTACATAAACTACTTTCTTGAATTAAGAATTGCTGTAGCGTGCCAGCATTGGTACGCTACAGCCCTTTCTGTATAGAATTTTGGAGTCGAGCAAGTTGGTACATATTCATTCTAAAACGAATAGGGCGTACGAACATGGACACACTGAACGCTGAACGTTTACACGAGTTCGTTATGGGAAGTCTGAGCATGATTGCACAAAGCGATAGAAGTAACGTGCTGTAGGTATACCATGAATTCATCGGCCTCTCACAGGCTAAAAAAACGGGCAGATCTCACGAACAGTGGGAATCAATGACATGCGAAGCACCAATGAAAAATGTTGGATATGTCACTTTAAATCAGTGCAAAGTTTTTGAGGTGTAGGTAAATGATGCCGTACATCACTTCCACGTCAATGATTATAATGTTTGGATGTGTCGTTTGCCTTCATCTATTCACGTTCCGTGATACCCAATTCAGTATATGTGAAGCTAGCGATACGGCAGCGAGCACGCTATGAACGTGTTATATCGCTACGTTCTTACAAGACACGCGTGTCAGGATTATTTATGTTTGCACCAGGCGTCATATTTCGTCATCAATTGACGTCACGTGACACCAAATTTGCTATATGCGGAGCTACAAAAACGACAGGCCGCGAGTGTATCATGAAGGGCCCAATATGCTTCAATTGTAGCGTTGACCGCGCGCCATGCTGGGCACAACGACGCTACGTTAGCAAAACGCGAGCACTCTAATCTTACGCCAGGCGCGACCACCGTCCGTTCGGCGCGGCCCGACGGCAACTAGCGCGAAATGCGACATCTAGAATTTCGCGCCGATGCGTTACCCAGACAACACAGCGTCTCCCTTTTTTCGTGACAGAGGGACGCCGGACACACTGAAACACGTATGCGTCAAAGCAACTTCAGCGCGGCGCCCGCCTGCGAGTATATGGCAGGACCGGCGCCTAGCGTGGCAACGCCGGCGTGACGCGACGAAATGAACGCCGGCGAGCACGTGCACCGAGTCACGTCGAAATTTATTGGTGCCTTGACTGTGGTATGTAGTTATGTTCACACATGACACGCATCTCATGATTATCATGTTTACACCAGTCACGAGCCTTCGTCATCCATTGGCGTCACGTAATACCGAATGTGGCATATGTGAAGCTAGCTAAACGGCGGCAAGCGCGTCATCAGTGTGACATGTAGTCATGTTGTTAGATGACAAGCATGTCGTGATTATCATGTTTGGATGTGTCATTAGCATATGTCGTACCTTCACGTCCCGTAATACCGAGTTTGGTACATTGGAAGCTAGCGAAACGGACGCGAGCGCAACATGAGCTTAGCAAGTAGTCTTGTTGTTACATGACACGCATCTCATATTTATTATTTTTCCACCAGTATCATGCCTTCGTCATCCAAAAACGTCCCGTAATACTGAGTTTGGTATAAGTGAAGCTAGCGAAACGGCTGCCAGCGCATCGTGAGCGTGGCATGTAGTCCTCTTGTTACATGACATGCCTCTCATGATTATCATGTTTGCACCAGTCACATACCTTTATCATCCATTAACGTACTATAATACCAAATTAAGGTATATGTGACGCTAGCGAAACGGCCGCGAGCGCATCATGAGCGTGGCATGTAGTCATGTTGTACATGACACGCATGGCATGATTTTCATGTTCGGGTCTGCTGCTTAGTGTTTTCCACGCAATCAATGCCATACCGTACTAGTTTTGCAACATGCCATGTGAACGAAACCTATGGCTAGAGCTGAAGGACCATGAAATGTAAATCATGACATTCTTGTCATCGATTGTAATGATTTTCATGTCTAACTAGTCAGATATGTTCTTCATTCGGTCATGTTAGCCACACCAGGTTTGGTAGCGATTCACATTATCGAAACGGCCAGGAGAGCTAAAAGTCGTAGGCGGCTAGAATAGATAGATAGATAGATAGATAGATAGATAGATAGATAGATAGATAGATAGATAGATAGATAGATACGTTCAAAGTTTAAGTTCGCTAAGAAATGCTTCGCATTTAAATGACGTCAGGCCTGCGTGGTAGGCGCAACACAGGCACAGCGAAAGAGAGAAGAGCGACATTTAAGCCTTTTCAAAACACTCATTGGGTAACTACTGCAAGCACACTAGCTTGGTGCCCACTAGGGTATTCATAATAAATGTTTGGGTAGTAGGCCAGCATTCGCTTTGCTATTTTTCGTCATTCTTCTGAGAAGCGTAGTATCCGTTGAACACTTGCAAGAAATTTTGTACTAATTGACCCTGCGATAGCTGACGATGAGGAGGAAT